CCCCCCCCCGTGACCCCTGCTGTATGCCCAGAGGAAAACAAAAACCTCCAGGATCCTTGACCACTCTGGCTTGGAGGAAAATTCCTTCTTGACCCCAGAGTGGCAATCAGCATTACCCTGGACATGTAAGAAAGGGCTACGAGAGCCAAGCACTGACTCATCCCTGCCTGCCCTTCGCATGAGCTGCCTAAATTAACAGAATCAGCATTGCTGTCAGATGTCCATCTAGCCTCTGCTTAAAAACCTCCAAAGAGGGTGAGCCCACCACCTCCCGGGGAAGCCTGTTCCACTAAGGAGCTGCTCTGTCAAGAAGCGTTTCCTAATGTTTAGCCAGAAAATGTGTTTGATAACACTTCCATGTGAAGCCATTCATTTGGGACTAGTTTGGGAGTGCAGACTACCTCACCAGCATGGTGCAGAGTGTCAGTCTCGGATCTGGTAGACACAGATTTCAATCTTTACTCTGCCACAGACTTTAACTAGGCTGACCTTGGTCCGGTTACTCTCTCTTCACCTAACCTACTTCAAAGGGTTTTGGTTGGGAAGATAAAATGGAGAAGGAGAGGACAACACTGTAAGCTGCAAAATGTGTCTACGATGGACACCCTTGGGTTCCCGGAGGGGGGAAATTAACCAGATTTTTCCAGAATACTTTTTGTGCTCTGAGTTGGCGCTGTGGCAATAGCCCCTGGATATTTCCATAGTATTTGGCTGCAGGACAATGCTAGTGGTATGAATGAGGCCACTAGCATTGTCCTGCAGCCAAATACTATGGAAATGAAGAAGACATTTCCATACAGGGCAGGAAGAGATGCCAATCACTGCCACAGCAGAAAGATACAGCCATGCTTGCCTTTCATTCTGGAGAGGATCCAGTCCAGAAAGATGCTCACTCTTGTATAAACACCTGCTTTCTTTGGCCTGGCACATCCTACACCCCAGCTGACAATGCCGTAGAGTGTAAACGATGAATCCTCATTTTGACAAACCAGCGGGCCACCTGAGTCCCCCTAAGAGACAGACACACACATATGTGATGGTCAGTTTCTTGCATTTTCCAAAAGGCATATCTAAGAAGCAGCTACCTATTTTCTTGGTCAGCTATTCTAGCACCCATCTCTAAGTATTTCTAGTCCTGTGTCCTGGGGTGTTCCTCTGACAACAGAAGAAAACTGGCTAGGCAGGATGTCTGAACGTCATCTTGGCTGGTCATCTGATCACACACATTTCATGTACCCAATCCACCAAATAAGCACGGTGCACAAAAGGGCCATCTCCAAATGGAACTGCGAGGAGGAAATTGGATTTATACCCTGCCCTTCACTACCCGAAGGAGTCTCAGAGTTGCTTACAATCTCCTTTCCCTTCCCCTCCCCACGACAGACACCCTGTGAGGTAGGTGGGGCTGAGAGAGTTCTTTCAAGAACAGCTCTGAAAGAAGTTGTGACTGGCCCAAGGTCACACCAGCAACTGCATGTGGAGGAGTGGGGAGTCCATGGTCCTAACCACTACACCAAACTGGCTATCAAGTTTAGTGCCGTTCTCCGGCCTGGAAGTGAAATCCCTAAATTACTGGCATAACATCGTTCACAAAACACAGTACTCCACAAGAAACTTGCTGTGTCTATCTCGGGGGGGGGGGGGGGGGGGATTGGAGGATACAAAGTCACTGCTACAGAATTAAGAGTTCAGCCATTCTCAGAAGGTTTTGATGGTTAACTGAAATTTTGGTTTTAACTTTCCAGGTTAAATGCACTTCTGTGTCTTTTGCACTGCACCTTTCTATTTCCAGTTCTAGCCTACGAACTCTGTTGTGTTTTGTGTGTGCCCACATCTGCTGAACTGATGTGCGAGAACATGAGGGGCAGGGCTTTCCCTGTTTTGGAACCTCGGCACTGGAATTCCCTCCCTGTATCAGTTCAGCTGGCAGTGAGCTAGTTAACTTTCAGCATTCCCCCGCCGTAGAGTGTAAACGATGAATCCTCATTTTGACAAACCAGCGGGCCACCTGAGTCCCCCTAAGAGACAGACACACACATAGGAGATTTTATTTTTAATTTACTGTGGTTCATGGTTTCGAATATATGTCTGATTACTTTGTTTTATTTCTAAATTATTGTACTTTAAAAAGAAGTTTGTTTTGAAGCTACATTGAGAGCTGTTAGCTGATGAGGTATGCTTTTTAGTTAAATAAAAACATAGTCAGCACATCTGGGTAAATGGATGCCTTCCAGAGTGAAAACCCCCTGCATTTTCTAATGGCACCAGATAGCCAGAGTGGTGTAGTTAGACTATGATCCAGGAAACTTAGGTTCACCTCCCCGTTCTGCCACAGAAGCTTATTGGGTGACCTTGGACCAGACACTCTCTTTCAGCCGAGCCTACCTCACAGGATGGTTGTTGTGAGGACAAACTGGAGGAAGGGAGACCAATGTTGCAAGCTGCTTCTGGTCCCCCACGGGGAAGAACAGACAGGTAGCAATACCTAAATCAACCAATGAAATTGCTACAGCTCACCCGGCAAGGGTCTTGGCCTCTGAAGAATGCAAAACCGGCACAGAGCATCCTGGGCGTGATCCCTCTGGGGTGGTTGAAGTAATAATTTTGATCACAGACATTGTTATTAAGCATAGGCACTTGGGTCTGCTGCAAGCGGCCGGCAGGGCCCCCAGCTATAAGAGAGGCAATGAAGTAGAACATTCAAAAGAAGTGCAATTTATTTCTAGGACTGGAAAAAAGAGAGAGAGCTTAACAGGAACGTATAACCGCGGACTTCGTACGAAATGGTCAGGCCTGCAGGAGAGAAGCTGATCTAGTCTATGCGGAATACAACTTGCACCTGAGTTAGGGTTGCCAACTCCAGGTTGGAGAAGTCCTGGAGATTTCGGGGTGGATCCTAAGGAAGGTGGGGGTTGAGGAAGGGAGGGACCTCAGCAGGGTATAAAGTCATAGAGTTGGGATTACCAGGTTCTCCCTGACCACTGGCAGGGCGGGGGTTGCCAGCTTGAGGTTGGGAAACTCCTGGAGATTGTGAACTTAGGCGGACCACGAGAAGGGAGGGCAGGAAGGGTTGCATCAGTGCTTAGCTCCCGTGGCCCTTTCTTACATGCTCAGGGAAATGCTGATCACCACTTTGGGGTCAGGAAGCAATCGTTCTCCAGGCCAGTTTGGCCAAGGATCCTGGAGGGGTGGGGTTTGGCCCTCTTCTGGGCCTGGAGCAGGGGTCACTGGGGGTGTGGAGGGGAGGTATTTGTGAATTTCCTGCATTGTGCAGAGGGTTGGACTAGATGAACCTTCCAACTCTGTGGCTCTATGATTCTATTTGGGGGTGGAGGACAGGGACCTCCATGGGGTACAACACCATAGAGTCCACCCTCCAAAGCATCTGTAGCTCTGTAGTCTGGAGAGCCACAGTTCCGGGGATCCCCAGGTACCACCTGGTAGCCGGCATCTCTTCATAGAGTCCACCCTCCAAAGGATGCAGGGGAATGGATGTCTGGAGAGCTGTAATTCTGGGGGATCCCCAGATCCCACCTGGAGGTTGATATCCCTACACAGAGCCCACCCTCCAAAGCCACCGTTTTTCCCCAGGGGAATTGATCCATGTATTCTGGAGATCACCTGTAATTCCACGAGGACTCCAGGCCCTGCTTGGAGATTGGCAACCCTTATCTGGCATGACAAAAAGGCCAGAATTCCCTCCGACTGCAATCTGCCATGGTGGGACATGGAATAATGGCCCAGGGCACCAAACTCCTCTGTTTAAGATGCCCAACACCAACCTCCTATTGACATAAATATCTTCGCCAGGACTCTGTCCAGGGACAGCCCTACCAAAGCCTATTTCCACATGATTGCAAAATTGATTCATTCAATATCTCAGGAGCTACAGGCCAATTCTTCCACCTTTGGTGACATGCAGTTGAGGCAGAGAGATTCTCAGCTCCTCCAAGATCACTAGCTGAGAGCCAAGGCAGCCCTTTAAATCTTTCAGCTGGGAGGAAGAGGGCCTCTCGCCGGCCATAGTTCCGGTTGCAGAAAGACCCTTTAAAAGGTCTTTTTGTGAGCGGGGTGGGGGCCACAGCGCTGATTTCCCAGGGGTGATTCTATCTAATCCCCTTTTAAAGCTGTCTATGCCTGTGGCCATTGCTACATCATTCGGCAGAGAATTTCACATTTTACTCACTATGAAAAGAAATTACAGGATGGCTTGCCTTTCCATATTACCCTGGTCATCTTACTGTCCTGATGGCATTCTCACACGAACAGGACTTTCTACTCTCCTCAAAACAGAACATTTCAAAAATAAAAACTGACACGTATCATTTGACTTATTAGGTCTGGGCCTCTACCAGACATTTCAGTCCTAGTCAGAACATCAACAGGGTCATCTTCAAGAGGGGGGGGGGAGTTTAACTACGACACTGATAAAGCCTCCAGGCATTTCCAGTCCACAGTAATAGTTGGCATTCACCACAACAGATCTTTTGAAGACAGAGAAAGAACATTAGTTAGTGACACCACCACTCGATAAAAGAAGAGAGCACTGACCTTCTTGGATGCCTCCACAGCCAGTCACCGTACAAAGCAGAGAATCAAATAATGGCTCAGTGTAGTTGGGCAAACATATCGGCTGCACCGCAGCACTGTAAGAGAGGGGGGCTTCCAGCTGGACCAAGGCAATGTCAGAATCATAGCTCGTGACATCAAAGTCTGAATGGATTAAAATGGTCTTTACTCTTCTTATCTGCAGCAAGAGGATGAAGCCACAGAAAAGTCACTAGCGACTGGCGCACTATAAAAATAACCCTGATACCCAACCCTTCTCTTGGGAGCCAGTTTGGTGTAGTGGTTAAGTGCGTGGACTCTAATCTGGGAGAACTGGGTTTGATTCCCCATGCCTGCCCTTGCAGCTGCTGGATGACCTTGGGCAAGCCATAGTTCTCTCAGAGCTGTTCTCTCAAGGGCAGTTCTCCACAGAGCTCTCTCAGCCCCACCTACCTCACAGGTTGCCTATTGTGGGGAGGGGAAAGGAGTTTGTAAGCGACTCTGAGACTCTGAGTGAAGGGTGGGGTATAAATCCAACCTCTTCTCTTCTCTTCTCTTCTCTTCTCTTCTCTTCTCTTCTCTTCTCTTCTCTTCTCTTTCAATAGCTTATTTTTAAGTCTGACCACTAAAACAGCAAGGCCATAGAAACCAACAGATACAGGAGAATGAGGATGAACTCCATCACTACTGCTCCCATCCCAAAAGTGGACAGTCTTCTGATAGATGGCTTAACTGGCAGTGATACCCACCAGTGAGATGTTAACCGTACAAAGAAGAGCAGAATAATACCTGTGTGTCTGGCAATGAATAAGTCCTGATAGGAAGTACACTTCAACCTGGACTCTGAAAGTCTGGAGGAGCAGCAAGATCAGCCTAGCAAGAAGCCAAAGAAACTCCCCGGAAAACTAGCACTTCTGTTGGAATGCAGGGCAGGAGGAGTGAATGGGAGAAAGGGCAACGGGCAGTCCAAGTTCGTAACCACTGCCTAAGAGAGCAGTTCCCAACCTTTTTGAGCCTATGGGCATCTTTGATACAGGGTGTTGGGCACAACCACAAAATGGCTGCAAGAGTAGGTGGAGCCAATCATAAAATGGCTGCTGCAGGAGGTGGAGCCCAACCACAAAAAATCAGGTTATATATAATAAAAACGTTTCAGCATTTCAGGCAGGTGCTCTAACTAATCTACCCAATCTAATTAAGCTGCACAATCTTGCAAGGCAAGAGCCCCACCTGGCCCCACTCACTTCCTAAAAGCACTTGGTGGGGACCAGAAAAGGTGTCGGCGGGCACCATGCTGCTCACAGCACCACGCTGGGGACCCTTAGCCTAAGATGGCATCAGATGACAACGGCAGCATTTTCTCCCTTGCCTTTCTGTTGTGATACTGCGTCAGGCCTGCCTAAGTTACTAACAGGCAGCATGCTTGAAGAGAGGGTAGATTTGATAGGTTACTGCCACTCCTGTAATGGGTCGCCAGTCACCTTTCCTCCTACAGGACTCTCTCTCTCTCTCGCTCAAGCTGCTGTCAGCAAGCTGCCAAATTTCTTTTATTCTGAATTTTACATGTATGCGCTTACTTGCTTTCAAGTTCATATGTAGACCTGTTGATGCGCTTAATTGCTTAGCTGCTGGAACGTGTATATCTCTCAAGGCCACAGGTGGTTAGCTGCGAGATAGTTGCTTGGGTGATCTCACGGAGAGCCGTGGGAAGGAGATTGTTAGATCGCACTAACAAAGACTCGGAGAGTGATTTCAGCAAGTGATTCAGCTTTAATAAAGGAACGAACATGCACTCAAACGCAGTTAATAACCAGAACAGTTTAACATAGGGAGCTAGGCTCCTTTTAAACATTCCCGGGCTAACATAGCCACGCCTATTTACATATAACAACCAATAAGATTGTGTAGTTAAAGACCAATGAGAGTCTTTCCCTCTCTGGAGCCTGTACAGTTCCTGATTGGTCGCTGTTAGAGGGCGACCAATGATAATGCAGTTCAGAGGAGCCTTCATCCGGCTCAAGCTTTACATTGGGAGTGAATGAGGTGATTCATGTAAGCGATTTCCAATACATAACAGAGATATATTTTGACAACTAGAAGCGTTTGCTCCCAGGCCCGATGGTGCGCGCGGGAAGTCCCGCAATTGGGCCTCAGCAGTTTGAATGTACTATAACCTGTCATGCTCATTGCTTTACCCTCATTCCTAACAGTGATCCTGTACATGCACCTATAGCTTCAAATAAAGTAAAACCTTTCTACAAGAGTGTACTTCATTGATGCTGTGGGGAAGCCTGACAGCTGCCAGGTGGAGCCTGGAAATCTCCCAGAATTACAGCTGATCTCTAGACGACAGATATCAGTTTCCCTGGAGAAAATGGCTACTTTGGAGGGGGGACTCTGTGGCATCACATACCCCATTGAGGTCCGTCCCCTCCCTAGGCTCCACCCCCCAAATCCCCAAGCATTTGCCAGTCCAAACGTAGCAGCCCTAATTCTGGGCAACATTGAGCACTTCTTCTATGGTGCTGCGAGGCCCTAATTTGTGTCTACCAGCTCCCGTCTGCCTTCTGCCCCACTTCACAACAGAAACCTCTACTCTCCTGGATCACGCAGATCTCATCTTAACCCTTCTACTGGAGACTGAGTTGTCCAGATTTTCCTAGGCCAGCATGCACCTAAAGAAGTACGGTTTACACATGCAGCAAAAGAGGACATTGGAAAATATCCAAGTACCAGAATGGACAGCACCACTTCAGACTGCACCTGTGAGCGATCACAGAGTGAAATATTCCTTGAGTTAAAATCTCCCAGCGAAGCAAAACACAACATAGCAGGGAAAGGACGGAGAAAGAATCTTTCCATTTATGTACCAGGATTCCATTTGCAGGGAGCTGGTTTGGTGGTTTTGCCACGGTGCAATCCCTAACCTCCAGTGTGCAATCCCTAACCTCCAGTCACAATGCAGAGAGATGCCTTATGGGATTTGTGTCCCCTGCTGGATAAGATGCAAAATGGGCCTGAGACCTTTGGAATCCAACAAGAGCCAAAGCCCCAGAGTGGGCCGTACGTAAACTCCTCAAGGCTGTGGGCAGTTAACTCCAAATGGCTGCATACATTTTTTAAAAGTTATTTTAGAAGAGGCTACTTGGGAGGAAAGCGATGGCGAACCTAAACAGCATGATAAAAAGTAGAGACATCACCCTGCCAACAAAAATACGCATGGTCCAAGCAATGGTATTCCCAGTACTCATGTATGGCTGCAAGAGTTGGACTATAAGGAAGGCCGAGCACCGAAGAATAGATTCTTTTGAACTATCAGCAGGTTCCTTCAATAATCTATCATGGTCTCCAGCAACAACTGTCCAATATAACGATTCGCTTGTTCTGCAAGGCAAACGAACAACACAAACACAATCCACAGTGAATCTTACATCTTTGTCATTCAAAGGCCCTATGCAGGGTGCTAACTTAAAACTTGTCATGGATTCCCCCAGGGGATCCTGGGAATTGTGAAGGAGAGATCTCAACATTTCCTGCAGCATTTTCATACATGACATTATTTTGAGTCTCTCTGGCACTCTTTCTACACACAGACACAAACATTTAATTCTGGAAAGAAAACAAGATTTTTTAAAAAAATCAGAGGAACATTCTAGCCACTGTAGCTTTTCTATCTGAATTACAGAGACTGTAAACATGAAAGAAAAGGAAAACTAAACAGCAAATTCGAAAACAGCTCCAGAATTCCTCAAACAAAAAAACCTGCCTGTTAAACTGGCTTAAGTCGTATCTTTGAGCCAGACTACACATTTGGGTTATTAACTAGTTGGTTCTCAGTTTCCTGGACTCAGCTCAGGTTCATCCTTCACAACTACACTGCAACTATGAGGAATGGGCTTTTAAAAACTACAGGAAACAACCAAACAGGCTCAGAACACCGCTGATCTGGGAGGAAGCACTTTACCATGCAGAAACAGCACTGGTGGGGAGTTATTTCCCTGGTTTTGTGTGGAGCATTCTGTGCACATGGAACAGCAAGAACAGGGAAACAACAACAAGAAGAAGAGTTTGGATTTATACCCCACCCTTCACTCAGAGTCTCAGAGTGGCTTACAATCTCCTTTCCCTTCCCCTCCCCACAACAGGCACCCTGTGAGGTTGTTGGGGCTGAGAGAGCTCTTTCAATAACTGCTCTTGAGGAAACAGCTCTGAGAGAACTATGGCTTGCCCAGGGTCATCCAGCAGCTGCAAGGGGAGGAGTGGGGAATCAAACCCGGTTCTCCCAGATTAGAGTCCACACACTTATCCACTACACCAGACTCCCAGCCCCTTTGCTCCTTTGCTTTGACAGTTGCAAAACGTATTAATAAAGAAAGTTTTCGTTTTGGCAGTGTTTTGGAACGACTTCTTAGCCTCAGCACAGTTACAGTTAGAACATTTACCACAAGCAAAAAAACCTTTAGGAATCTGCCTCCCCCTCATACAGCTGGTGTCCTTGAGTTCCGGGAGCCTACTTCTAACCAGTGAATCCCTGAGATTTCTTGCTCTCCAGGCTGTAAATAGCGGAGGATTCTGGCATCTAGGTATGTTTGATAAAAGGTGCCAATATTTATTAACAATAGCCTTCACTTGCCGAGAGGGGCTACACATATAGAAACCTAAAGAGAGCATACTACAGAGCTTACAATACACCAAGAACATCTTTACTCACACCCAGATCTCAAAATCAAAGAGTAGATAGGGTGATTATACCTCTTACTTACAATAGCACATTTACAATCGGGGGAGGCAGATGGATCCTTTGCTGTGACACTCAGGACTCTGCTTTGAGAAAGGAACTCCTAACCCCTATATACCTTGGCACAGCCATGCACGTGCTTCCGAATGCTGTGAAAGCAGCAAAACCTAACTAGTTGGGTCATGCTTCCCTGGACTCCACTCAGGTTCGCGGCAGCCACAAAGCAGCTTCAAGAAACAGCTTTTTAAAAAATAAAGGAGAGCCCAAACAGGCTTAGAACTCTGCTAGGGGAGAGGAAGGGTTCCTCCTCCCCACCCAAGTCATTTTCCCGAGTGGAAACAGTACTGGGGGCAGTTAACCTTGTTTTTGCTGCTCCATGTGGAGTGTTCTGTCAGGGAACCTGGGTTGGACCCCGATGCAACCCATTAAAAACCCTAACGCAAAGTTTGGCCCCCAAGATCCCAGCAAGGCTTGGAGACGTGTAAGATGTTTCTTTACATAGTGAATGATTGCCCAGATCGATTTGGGGCTTAGCACACTCCTGAGTGCTGCACAGGATTGTAGCAAACTGGCTGAAATGGGATGCTGTCTGTCTGTTGACTCAAAGACCACAGCAGAGCCACCAGACAGCAAATGCTGAAACGCAGAAAGACGGTGCACCAGGAACCCAGGAAAATGGGAAAGGGCTGCTTCCACAGGGATGCTTTGCTCCACCTTGGCTTCCTTACTGGAGCACTGTTTTAGAGACCATCCAAATGATGTTGCCCACTATCTTTCCTGTTTCTCTGCCCCCACCCCCCACTACCTTCCTTTCCACACCTGGTTTAACACGATCTTCTTGGGAAAAATCACAGTCAGCGCCTCTGCCTGCCTCACGGACAGAATCGTAGAATCACAGAGTTGGAAGGGGCCATACAGGCCATCTAGTCCAACCTTCTGGTCAATGCAGGACCAGCCTAGAACATCCCTGACAAGTGTTCATCCAGCCACCACCTGACAACTGCGAGTGAGGGGGGGGCTCACCAACTCCCTAATTCCACTGCTGAACTATTCTTACTGTAAAAACTTTTTTCCTAATATCCAGCCGGTAACTTTCCACCTGTAAATTAAACCCATTACTGGGAGTCCTGTCCTCCGCTGCCAACAGGAACAGCTCCCTGCCCTCCTCTAAGCGACAGAAATGTGTTCATGTTTACAGGCCCTACCAACTTTTGTGTCATTTTCCTTGAATGAGATGTCTGTTGCAGCCGTTCGTTCTCACCCCACCCCCAGTAGGCTTTTTTTAAAAAATCAATAATTGACATACTGCTATTTCTGTCTAGTCAGGTTTCATCAGGTGTCTTCTACAGGAAGGAGGGAAGGGAGGAAGGGAGGGGGAGAGAGAGAGAGAGAAGGAAGGAAGGAAGGAAGGAAGGAAGGAAGGAAGGAAGGAAGGAAGGAAGGAAGAAAGAAAGAAAGAAAGAAAGAAAGAAAGAAAGAAACTCACCCCAGGGATTCCCTGCAATTTCCAATTCCCAGCTTCATAATTCCCAAATCAATTTTTACTTTTCTTTGACAACATACTTCAGAACTGAAAAATCAATAAAGTATTTTAAAAGATGAGGCTTTAAAAAATTTCTCTGGCACGATTCGCTAGCACAGAAGAGAAGCATCTATAATGGGGAAAACTTAGAATGAGAGCCAAGGCAGGCTTGGCCGCTCACATTGCAAACAGATGGAAGCAAGACCCTTGTCAACCTCATGCACCAGCGCAAACACCCCAGAGTATGTCACTGCAACCATTCATGCTAGATTAAATAGACAGCCTTCTCTCTGTAGACACCACAGTCCTTTCATCTGAGGATATTCATGAGGGGTGATGTTTGTCGGATAACTGAAGATTCAGGCACTTGCTTACCCACAGGTACGTGCTTTGGAATGGATGCTTGTACATACACCAGCCCTACAAATTCAGCTTTGGAGCTTTCTGCAGGAAATAAACAAGGGTTTATATTCAGTTCTCAGCAAGAAGCAGTTGTTAAGCAGTTGTTCTCTTCTTTTCTTCCATTCCCTCCCCACTCCTTTACTGTCTTCCAGCCCCCGGCTTTACCCACTCTCAATGACAGTCAGCATGGAGGGGAGGGGGATGCCATGAGCCCCCAAAGCTGCTCAACTCAGGTCCAAACTACCCACTACATCTACCACGTGATCTCCACAGGGACCTGCAGCCAAACAGCAGTTGTGACTTCCCTGCAGGAACTCCATTCTGAAGTGCCACGGGGGTTTTGGGGCTGATTTAGACCAGGACCACGGTATTGGGGGGGGGAGCTTCAGCCTTCCCTCCTCTGTCATTTCCCCCAACCTGAAACAACACAGGGGGTTGCATGTGCGAGTCTTCTGTGCACATGCAACTCCCTGATGAAGCAAATTAATCCCCAGGGCTGTTTCAGGTTGGGAGAAAGGTGCGGGGGGGGGGAGAGGCTGAAACCCCTCCTCTCCACTTCAGAATTGAGCTCCCACAGGGAACTCGCAGGTAGCATACTGCTGAGAGTTCCAGTGGCAATCACGCAAAATGTAGCTTTAAGCTCAGAAATATTCAAAGACATTTCCCCACCCAAAGGCAGTCATGTTACATGGCCCAAACGATGCATCCCAGGATCTTCCGCAAGAGGTTCAGGGAGTCTCCTCTTAGGTCATATACCCCAAAATGTCCCTGCTCCAATGGACCTTCAGGGTTGCCTGGCCAATCAAAGTTGGCTGCTAGCTAGGCTCAGGGAATTCTCCTACTTGTCTTTGTTTGGAAGAGGGTTATTCTTTTGTGGGGCAACACCAACGAAACAAATGGACTAAGAGCCACAGTGTATGGACACCGCTACCCTGCCAACCTGAGGGGGAGAAGGTAAATCTGGCCTTGAATCCTCGAAAGTTGTTCTCTCCATCACTCTGGAAGTGTATTAGTAAGATGTTTCCAGAGCTCCAGACTGGGGAAGGAACTGAGAAGCCACAAAGAAGAGCTGCAGGGAGACAGAAGCCACCACCATTAAAAAAACAAAAGCGTTCCTTTGCTTTTCCCCACAAGGGTCCTTCCTCAAGACCTCAGATCATTAACATGTTCCTTATCATACCTTCAGCATGCAACGTGTCCTTCCATTGTCTACCTTACAAGGCCAGCATTACCACCAACCACAGAAAGCCAGTGAAGGTTTGGCAGAACCAGGTTCAAAGCCCATCTCAGCTACCAAGTTTACAAAGATAAACTTTAGCAAATCACCACCTCCCAAAACTAATTTACCCCTCAGTTTGTCACAAGGCTAACAGGTCACATTCAGAACTTTGAGAGGAAGGGTGGAACCACTCAAAACCCCTCGTATGAACAGGGCCATAGAGACTGTGAAGCGTAGTTAGGTACAAAACCAGTAGGAATCCTTTGACCAATCTGATCATTGGCATAATGGTCATTATGTTAATTATTGTTCCTTTCCCCCCAGTTCTCTTCTTTTTCATGCCTGATAGGTGTTTTTTTTTAAACTTTGTTTATAACTTTTTTAACTTTAACACAACCAGAACACCAAGTAGAACAGTTAAGATACAAAGTATGCATTGGATCAAAACAATATACAAAGGCATATAAATACAGAAGGGACGGATCGGGGACGGGCAGGCAACGATTCCCAGATGTTGCCGTGGGATCGCGCCCGTTTGCTCCACCCCCGTTCTGTCTTGCTCCCTGAACAAAACCCCTCGTATGAACAGGGCCATAGAGACTGTGAAGCGTAGTTAGGTACAAAACCAGTAGGAATCCTTTGACCAATCTGATCATTGGCATAATGGTCATTATGTTAATTATTGTTCCTTTACCCCCAGTTCTCTTCTTTTTCATGCCTGTTAGGTGTTTTTTTAAAACTTTGTTTATAACTTTTTTAACTTTAACACAACCAGAACACCAAGTAGAACAGTTAAGATACAAAGTATGCATTGGATCAAAACAATATACAAAGGCATATAAATAAGCCGTTGATGATAAAAAAGATATAGGTATACACCATATACTCCAAAGCCGTAGCACAGTTGCAAAGGAATAAAGATCCTCTTACACATTTAATTAAGATTCATCACAGTGTTGAAATGATTTCCAAATACCTTTTGGGAATAGTATCTGCGGGTATAATGGTATTAGCAAAAGCCACTTCTAAAAATGGTAGCCATTTAGAGAGAAAAAAGAGATTGAGCTTTGTAAGTGCTAGATGAGGGTAAAGAAATTGCTGTTTTCTCCATGCCTGTTAGGTTGAGACCACCTATTTTGCTTTCCTTAACACAACCAGAACACCAAGTAGAACAGTTAAGATACAAAGTATGCATTGGATCAAAACAATATACAAAGGCATATAAATAAGCCGTTGATGATAAAAAAGATATAGGTATACACCATATACTCCAAAGCCGTAGCACAGTTGCAAAGGAATAAAGATCCTCTTACACATTTAATTAAGATTCATCACAGTGTTGAAATGATTTCCAAATACCTTTTGGGAATAGTATCTGCGGGTATAATGGTATTAGCAAAAGCCACTTCTAAAAATGGTAGCCATTTAGAGAGAAAAAAGAGATTGAGCTTTGTAAGTGCTAGATGAGGGTAAAGAAATTGCTGTTTTCTCCATGCCTGTTAGGTTGAGACCACCTATTTTGCTTTCCTAGAATCATATCCTTCCTTATGCACATGAATGTTTAGTAGCTATCCATGAATTGACCACATAATTCTACCAATGCTGGTAGGGATATGAGGCCCTATAACCAGGTGCTGAAGATGATCCAAGGCTGAAACACAGCAGGCCTTTCAGGAGACCCCAGGTTATACATATTAGTCTCGGAAAGTTTTGATTTGTAATCGCTTCTTGGCACTAGTGGACTTTCACAACTTAATTTTCAGTTGTTGGATCTATAGACTTGTGCATTGGCAACTTTTTAAGGATTAAATGGAGCTTTGAAATATATCAGAAATAGTTTGATATTTCTTCTATAGTGGTTTTCAGGTAGATTAATCACTTTGTTACTTGATTGTTACGTAAAGAGGCTTCCTTGCCTCTTTACCTCTCTGTCACCTTTTCCTTTGGTATTGTATTATACTGTATTATAAATTGTAAACTGCCTTGAATGCAGCAGCAGAAAGGCGGAGGAGGAGGAGATTGGATTTATACCCCAATCTTCACTACCTGAAGGAGTCTCAGAGTGGTTTACAATCCCTTTCCCTTCCCCCTCCCCACAACAGACACCCTGTGAGGTAGGTGGGGCTGAGAAAACTCTTTCAAGAAGTGCTCTTGAGAGAACAGCTCTGAAAGAACTTATGACTGACTCAAGGTCACACTAGCAGCTGCATGTGGAGGAATGGGGAATCAAACCTGGTTCTTCCAGAGTCCGTGCTCTTAACCGCTATACCAAACTGGCTAAGAGTCCTGCCTGGCATGCTAAAATATTCTGTATTAGAGTAACGAGATTTGATTTAATTTGATCAACCCCCCCTTTGTCCTTAGTAGTTAACCTTTTAAGATTTGCTATATGTTTTGCTATGCCAGGTACATTATTCTAGCATCAGTGTCTGGGAATGCCAGGGGCAGGGATTGGCACAATATATAATACTTGAAGGGGGGGAAGTTTGCCCATATCCCCTATATTCCATCAAGCTGAATGAGTTACTACCTAGTTGGTGTTCCTCTTCTGTGTCATCAAACACAGTGACTGCATCATAAATACAGCCCTGGCTGACTTCAACAGCAAAGTCCTCAAACTCCAACTGTAAAGGAAGAACACAGTTTCAACCACCAAAGGTCATTCATTCTCAATTTATACAACGTCATAGGTACCGAAATGCGCAAAGGGAGAAATTGGCATCAGTGCTCATAATTTTTTTGTTGCATTCGGTGGCTGAATCACACTGAAGTTTCTAGACATTTTATTGCATTCTCCTCCCAACCTAGGTACCGACCACCTGGTTACTATCCCTCATTACCTTTACAACAGGCCAAAAAGGAGACTTTTGCCACCTTGAACAAATTTATTGACATATCTGACGAAGCACACTCCACAAAATTTTATGCTTTGATAAATCCGTTTAATGTACCACAAGGCTGCTTTTTTATTTTTGCAGCAATGGACCAACATGGCTGCCATTACCTTTATGACATGATCCGTGGGGGCTTCAATGAGCCAATGACATTTGCTGTGGCTGGGATACAAGCCAGGGTAATTAGCTGTGTCAATCTCCCCTTCTTCCACCAGCACTGCAACACTGCCGCAGCCGGAACCTATCAAACAGGATGAGTGAATTAGAAGCACTCACTTTTCATACACATCTCCCTTTTATAGATGCCAGTCCATGTAAAATTATTCATTCAGGACCGACCTCACCATGGAGCGCAAAACAGCAGGCAAGCAAATCATCTGAGGTTTCATTAAAAGGTGGCAAATTGCCTATTACTAAGTGTAACTCTAAGAGGCATCAGATTCAGATCTGAGGTGTCAGATGGCCCTGGGTTGGCCCTGCTTGCATTGCGTTTCTTAAGACAGAGATGTAGAACCCAGGCAGGACTCTCAGCAAAAATTATTCCTGGAACGTGTGCAATAGTGACAACATGCCTAGCTAAAGAGAGATTTACTGGGGAGTGTTATTTCCAGGCAGGCCTAAATTTCAGCAGCTCCACTAGGGCCACAGTCAGACGTGCCTTTAGATCTGACTCAGCTGCAAATGCCTGATGGATCTAAAGGGCACAATCAGACAGCAACATCTGGGAAAGGTCCCACAGCTGTCAGCACCCCATGCTGCCCCGCCATGGAAGCAGAGATAAAAGACACTGGGGAAAGTCCGGTCCTAATGCCTGCTGATGGGCTGCAGATGGACTTTCCCCTTGTCTGATCGCTCAAGCACTCTCCCATGCCATCTGTCTGATCGCTCAAGCACTCTCCCATGCCATCGGGATGGTCTTCCTATTCCATCCCGAATTGGTGCCATTCCCCCCCCCCACTTAGCAGTATGTGCATAACCACATACTCCATGGGGAACCCTCAGTGCGGAGGTGCAATTCCTCATTTATGTGCATGAGAAACAAAAGGCAAAGAAAAACCACTCAGCCGAACGTGCTGTCTGATTGGGCAGTGATGGGCTGAGCCCGCAGCTATAAAGTATGTGTGATCGCGCAATGCTGTGTCAGTTTCCACCGGGGGAAATAGGCTCACTTCCCCTCCGCACCAAATGGCACATCTGACCACAGCCTATCTGAAAGTCAGCACAGCTGGAAACAGAATGCTCAGACCACTCGGCCAACAACACCAGAAACCTACTGAAAACTTAAAACACCTTGAATCCAGCCCTGCAACATCCACGGCTGCATATTCATATGTATACAGTGGCATTTCCTACTTCCTGCAGCCACCTGCTTTTCTAGGCACCTTTTATGCCAGGATATCACAGGGCTGGGAAGTGGATTGGCAGAGAGGCAGGATACCTCCAAGAGCAGCAAAACCAGCAGACAGCTGCAGTTTCCTCCCTATGTTCTCCTCCACATCTTATGAATTAGACATTTCTATGCCTCCTTTCCCCCCAAATGGATCCCAAGGTGGTAAACATCAAGGCAGTAAAACACTTAAAAGCTTAAAAATGTATTTAAAGTGTATATACAAATATTTAACAATACAATAAAAACATATAGATACACACACACACACAGACACAAAACCAGGAAAAAAGGCTGGGGGGGCAATTTTCACCCAGAAAGAACTAAGTAGCGAAGCATCAATGGCTCAGTGCAGTTACCTGCTTCAGAAGCCTTATGCACAGCGGTGAAGAGGAACTCAAAGCCGCCCCCAGTTTGGCTACTGTCAGACACAAAAGTGACTGTCGCTTGGTCAGAGTCTATCAGCAGAGGAGAGGGTAACACATGACCACAGACTTTACCTAAATAAAAAGAATGGGATTCAAAAAGCTGAAGATTTGCACACAGAGAACTCAGTTCAGGCCATTGGTAGCATCTAAGAACACTTGGTTAGATCAAACATAAGACCATTTAAGGCTCCACAAGGGAAGCAACATCCCAATGGATCTAGTGGATACGACGCCCATGGACTGGTAGCTGTCTTTCAGCTTAACAGGGTTGTTGTGTAGATAAAGTACATATATGGGGGGCAATCACACTGCCTTGAGCTCTTTGGAGTTAGGGAAGAAAACATTTGTTTTAGAAGCTGCTTGATTCTCACATTGGTCCCTTCTTCTGCTGCCTACATTGGCTTTTGCCGGGGAAGAATTCATGTATACTTCATTGCAGTAACTTTCATGCTACAGCTGTACTTCAGGGGTCCTCAGCCTTGTGGAACCCGTGGGCATCATTGGAATGTCGGAAAAGGATAGTGGGCAGCACCGCAAAATGGTTCCCACAGGAGTTGAGACCAATCACAAAATGGCTGCCACAGAGGCCTATTAGACAGTTCTGAGATGTTCTAAGGCAAGTCCTCTCCTTTGACAGAGGCAGCTATTTCCAAATGAGAGCTCCCTGAAGACCCTAAGGGGTCTTTCTTAAGCATCTCCTGGAAGACAGCCAGGACTGGCTCTTTTCTTTGGGGGAGAGGAAGAAGCAAACGGCATCAAAACACACATTAGTGGGCTCCATATTGGGGATTGCGGCTGAACTATGCACATTAGGGGTATGGAAATCTTCCCAGCAAGCCCCCCCCAATTAACGAACATATCCAGGCAGGTGTGAGCCATTTTCCCATGGCACTATCCCACATGGATGCAGGGTGTGGATTGCAGAAGCATGTGGGCAAGACTGATCTCATATCTTTTCCCCCTAGACCCGTTCAGGAGGGACAGCAAATGGTCCATGAATCGGTGTTCTGGCTTGCTGCTTCAAACAGCAAGCCTGGAAGGCAATTTAATGTCACAAGAAATGCTACAGGTATTCTATGGAGGTATCAATTTTTCCATAATGAAATCTGGAACTGAAGCCCAAACTGGGAATTAGAAGGAAACTACATTAGCTCTTCCCATATTTACTTAAGGGGGGGGAAAGTTGGTACAGGCATACACACGTAAACTCTGAGATCAGCAGAAACTGATTGAATGTGAAGTACTCTCGCACTCTTGTGTAGGCATTAGAACATTTTACCAGAGTCTACCTCAAATTCCTTTTGTTATCAGAATGCACTGCATAATGGATAGAGTTAGAGGGTCCCCAACCTAGAATCCAGCTATTACTACCTAATCTAGAATCCATCTGTTAACTATGCCCTAACTGTGGAAGGCTGGAAGAGAAACATTTTACATACCAATTAATTTCCCCTCACTTGAATGAACATTCACGTAGTCCTGGTCACATCCAACCTGATCTTCTATGTCTACTGTGATAAACTGCACGAGTACGAATTTATCCTCCGGAACGGTTATATTCCAGCTGCATCGGCTGCAAGCAGACAAGCCAAGAGGCATCAGCACCAAGGACAGAGGCCAAGCCACTACCCCTTTAGCATAGCACAGGAGTTCTGAACTGTCACCAACCCTTTTGACGGGAATAAATGCCCTGCATTCATTGCTGGGCCAAGCCTTCCATTTCATTTTTAAGCAGGAATCTGGCTGCTTTTTAAAGTCATGCAGCTTCAGGACAAATTCATTTTTTCCCTGCATGATAAGTTATAAGAACATAAGAAGAGCCCTGCTGGATCAGACCAGTGGTCCATCTAGTCCAGCATCCTGTCTCACACAGTGGCCAACCAGTTCCTCTGGACAGCCAATAACAGGGCATAGAGGCCAAGGCCTTCCCCTGATGTTGCCTCCTGGCTCTGGGATTCAGAGGTTTAGTGCCTTTGAATATGGAGGTTACTTTCAGTCACCATGGGTAGTAGCCTTGATAGATTCATGGAGGATAAGTCTTATCTAAACCCCTTTTAAAGCTGTTTATTCCTGTGGCCATCACTACATCCTCTGGCAGTGTATTTCACATATTAATCACTCTGTGTGTAAAAAAGTGGTTTTTGTGTGTGGGGGTGTTTGTATGTCGAACAGGAAGAAAAAAGCGGCTACAAGTAGACTGTTTTTATACATGAAAAAGTGGGTTTTTTGTGTGGGGGTGTTTGTATGTCAAACAGGAAGAAAAAGCAGCTACAAGTAGACTGTTTTTATACATGAATAAAAATGAAGAACACATTTTGCTTCTTTCCTTTGTGTAAAGTCCTAGCCCGTGCATCTTTTTCATCACAGGCTTGTTGGGGAGGATGTAAAAATTAGCACAAGTAGACAAAAATGGACACAGAGTAAATGCATAATAATCAGTACTATCAGGCTTCTCAGGCTGCGAGATTTACTCCACAGCAGGTAGATGAAAATGTACCAAAGTGTGTGTAAAGTTACGTGTGTGTCAGAAGTTACGTCTTCTGATGGACAGCTGCTGGCAGCAGACAGGTGACACTGACTGGCTATGGGATGCAATAAGGATTTACGATGTCGTTAAAGGAAGCACTAAATTGCCACAGCAAACAGGTGGTTCCTCAACTAGCATTTGGCAGATTAATGCTAACTCAGGGGAGCATTTCAAGGAATAATTTGATAGGATGGAGTATGTGCTTAACCCTCCCTCCTTGCTTATCTCTGTAAACTCTCTCCAACTGCTTCCTCATGTATGTCTTTCCAAGATCAGAAGTAAGCCTGACTTGGGCTGGAGTGCAACCTGCAGAACACACAAAGTTGCTTTATACTGAATCAGACCACTGGTCCATCAAAGTCAGTCTTGTCTATTCCAATGGCCAGCAGCTCTCTAGAGTCTTAGGCAGAAGTCTTTCACATCTGCCTGATCTTTTTAACAAGAGATACCAGGGACTGAACTTGGGACCTTCTGCATGCCAAGCAAATGTTCTACCACAGAGCCTGACCTCACCCTCAGAAGAGGGGTTGTCATGATCTGTGCAGGACTGGGAGCAGGGCCTAGTGCGGCCTGGTCCCAGGAGAGACCTGCATGGCAGTGAGCAGACAGCCCACAGTCCCCATAAGGCTTAGCAATGGGCTATAGCCAATCAGAGAGGCAGATTCTGTGAGGAGACTGTTGAACTGTGTGAGGAGAGTTGGTCTTCGCCATTCACTGAGAAAAAAACAGGGTGTTCTTTCGGGTCTCTCTTTGCGGCCTGTTCTCACTGTGGGGACAGGCTGGTGTGGGAGAGAGGAAGATCTCCACTGGGCTCAGTGTGAGTGCTAGACAGGCTGTGGGCCTGGAAGTAGAGCAGGTAGCTGCGTTAGTTTATGTTTATTTTGCCTTTTCACACTGTTATACGCTTTTTAAGCTCCTTGCCTTGTCTTGTTTTCCCTGCCCCAGTGTTGCTTTTAATAAACCCTTTCTGTTTAATTCTTTTCTCTGCCTGGGTCAATCACGCCTGTGTGTTCTCGGCTGAAAAAGGGGCCATTTTGTATGTGCTTGAGAGGGTACCCTGGGCCTTCTCAACAGGGACCATAAGTCCAGGCTGGTGGTGGCGGAAGGCGGAGACCCCCTGGGGTAATGACAGGGGTGTTATGTCCAGTTTCTCTTGCAAGTGCCCCCATTCCCACATTAGCATTATCCAGCGCACGTATATTCGGAAGCCCATGTTTACAGAGGTAACTGGCAGTTTTATGCTAAGAACGGGGTTATGACATAACACTGAAAGAAGAGCATGTGGCGTTTTGGCCAAACAGGGTGAGAGATCTTGCAAAATAACCTCTGCTGTGTTTCTTTACATGCCTTCTTTTCATTTCAGGAGGAACCAACGACACAAGACGGTCAGCACATTTGGCAGCCTTGCTTACAAATGCCTGCTGCACAAGATGGATTGCTGGCCTGGAACTCAACAGATACCTGTTATCAAGGTAGTGATCCCCCATTAGGCAAGAGTGCCGAATGTGCCCACTTTCTCCAAATATCAACATTCCATGGGAGCTGCAGTCTTCCAGACTGGTGGGCAGCAGGTGACTTGGCTCAGGTACTAAACAAGGAAAAAAGGAGCATTACTTTAAAGTACTCTCACAGTGCTGCCCTAAGCAAAAGCACCCCCTTCTAAGCCCATTGACGTCAATGGACCTAGAATAGTATAACTCCGCTTAGGAGTGTGGTGTTAGGGTAGAGATAAGAAATGCACCTCTGGTGTTGTGGAAGAGGTAAGAAATGCACCTCTGGCTACTTCAGTATTCTGCATGGTTGGCAACTTGGGAGCAGACTGTTGATCTTCTGACTGGCCTACTAGCATGTAGCCCGAGGGCCAATGCAGTGGTTTTCTACGTATGCCAGTAGTATGTTAGAGGGAGGAATTTGTCAGATCATAACTTCTCATCTGCAATTAGAAAAATCACAAGAAGAGGAGTTCCCTCTGCTACATATCCCCTCCTCTCACAATAGCCTGATGATATAAGTGAAACCCTCTCAGTCTAAAGACGGAATCTAGCTGCAGTAAATCCTGCACTAGCTGTGATCTAACAGATACAGCAGCACTGCAGCAAAAGCAATGTCAGAGTTATTGCATTCATTTGTACAGAAATTGAGCATCATGGCTTAAAAAAAACGCCTGTGCTGTGAGTTAGGAGAACCCTGGAGCAAATCTCACCTCTAAGGGCCAAAATATACTTTAGGTGTGATATGAGCTGGGACAAAGATGCCTGACCCAACTTGATGTCACACATAGGGTGCGTTCAGACGGGGCGTTTCAGCCGGCATAAACTGTACAGTCAGTTGGCAAGTGGCTATTAGGGTGCCCCTAAGGCAGTACAAATACAATACCTTTATTGGGCCTAAGGCAGTAAATGGTCCCCATAGTGACCAGGCGCTGGGATGGGAGACACAGAGGCAAGGCCTCAGAACTTGGAAGGGAAGCTGGGAGTCCTGACCCTCCTGGTGGGCAATTCCTTACAAAGTTAAGGTGGTGGCAGTGGTTACCCAAGAGAGAAAGAACAGGCTGTCTAGGTGTTGGGGAAAACATTGGAGGGCAGGGTGGAAGAGGGCCTGCAGGCTGGAGTGGGCCCGTTCCACCACAGGGTCACCCCAAGTCAGCTGCAACTTGACAGCACTTTCTGAAAAATACCGACCCGTGTTATAGTGGTGCCCTTTTACAGATGCCACCCAATTGCTATCACCCTGGTATTTGAAAGTGGAAGCTTACTGTGGACCAGGCCCATAGCTACAGTGGGGCCTCCTGGGGCCCAGCTCTCCCTAACTTCCTCTCAAGGCCCCATGATTTTTTGAGAGAAGCGGGGGGAAGCTGTGTGCACCTGCACTCCAAGCCACAAATTCATGGGTTGGAGTGCAAGTGTGCAGCCCCCTGATCCCCAAAGCATTTAAACTTTACATGCTTTGAGGGAGAAGCGGAGGGAGGCCCCACATGCACCTGCACTCCCCCAAAGCATTTAAAGTTTAAATGCTTTGAGGGAGAAGTGGGAGCCGCGCACCTACACTCCAAGGTGTGAATTTGCGGCTTGGAGTGCAGTTGCGCATCGCTCCCCCCCTTCTCCCTCAAAGCATTTAAAGGGACTCTTTAAATGGTTTGGAGGAGAAGCGGGGGCTGCACGTGAATTTCTGGGCCCCCCAACTTTTTAAAAGGTCCCCCAAATTAAAAATTTCTGGCTATGGGCCTGCTGTGGGCTTACCTTCAGAGACCTTGCCCCACCCACTCACAACACAGAGCATGCCCTCTTCAAATGTATCTTCTTTGTGGGGAAGACAGATTGGCTGTACTTCATGCCCTAAAATAAAGAGAAGCACATTAAGCAATTTTCTAATAATGTTTTAAAAAGGTATTTTTTAAAATAATTCCTGAACGGTTATATCTCTTCTTTCCATACAGAATCAAGTGAAATGAAAACTGCCTGTTCTCTATGTTACAGTTTCAGCTTTACATTCTTAAGATGTAAACAGGGGAGTTCTTCTTAAGTTGGTTCTTTACAAAGTCCTGCATCCTGTTAAACCCACCTGCCTTTTTTACAGCAATGTCTACTAAGGAATGGCCCCATTTGCGGTCTCAGCCTTTGGGCACTACGACAGAAAGAAGCACCTGCAAAGAGGCAGTATGACATTGCCCATGGAGTCTTGGGAAATATACCTTCATGTAATTAATACTCATTGGGTGCGTTCAGATGGGGCATTTATGCCGGTATAGATGCCGGTTGGAATCGGTGTACTTATGGGCAATCACACGGCAAACATCTGCCTTCCGTCCCTAACCATTGTAAACAGCTTTAAACCGTTGTATTCTGCCACTAGGTCCCCAAGTGGTGGTATCCTGAGTGCACCGGTTCCAACCGCATTATCCCCGTCTGATTGCTCTCTGCCGGTCTAGCCACTTCCGTTCAGAAGCCCGAGGCTTCCGCTTTTCGGCCGCTTTTTTTTTTAAGTCTCCTCGATGTGCGCTTGGGCAAAGCTTCACCCTGGCGTTTGTTAAAAAAAAAGGGGGGGGCCTAGTGTAAGGCTTTAGATGAGTCTGGGACCTCATGGAGGCCAGTTTCAGAGTAAAAATTTAAAGGGACATCTTCGCTTCAAGGCATGCTTGGGTTGTTCTGTGCCTGCGCAAAGATCTTCATTATAAGGAAGCCTGCCTATGCACATGTGCAAACTGTGTAAAAAAAATTTTTTTAATGCCGACGCACTCTGCTGAGCGCCTGAAGTGTGGATGGGCATATCGCAATGTGCTGCGCAGCCAGAAGGTAAGTGGGATCGCGTTTCTTCCAGATCAACCAGAGCAGTTTATGCCGGCTAAAATGCCCCATCTGAACGCACCCATTCCCTCTCCCCAAGAAACCTGGGAATTGTAGTTATGTGAAGAGCATTAGGTTATCTCCTAAGGAAGTCTAAGGACCTTTACCAAGCTACAAAGACCAAATAAAAAGCAAATATATCTGAACTGTGAGTGATATGAGTGTGTATGAGGTTTACGAGCACAACAGCAAGGGCGTAGTCAGGGCTGCCAAGAATTCTGTACCTCAAAGAGAGACACAAAAGAGAATCTTTTGTTACCAGATGTGACCTTCCCGTCACAGTGGTCCCAGGAAGGAGAAGCTGCACCTGACAGAATTCTCCCTTCTATGGAGCAGAAGAAGAGTAGTTTTTATACCCCACTTTTCTCTACCCTAAGGAGTCTCAAAGTGGCTTACAATTGCCTTCCCTTCCTCTGCCCACAACAGTCACCTTGTGAGGTAGGTGGGACTGAGAGAGTCCTGAGAGAATTCTGACTGGCCCAAAGGCACCCAGCAGGCTTTGTGTGGAGGAGTGGGGAATCAAACTCGGTTCTCCAGATTAGAGTCTGCCGCTCTTAACCACTACACCTCGCTGGCTCTTTCAGGTTATAGGAATTGCCTCAGCAGGTCTAGTGGAATCACAGGAGCCAAGAGATACCACACAAGTTGCCTTGAGTATGAGGAGAAACACAGGATATTAATATTCCCCCAGTACTCTTCCCATCAACAGTTACTATTGATCGAGTCCTCTTTACCATATTTCACTCTGTATTTCAGATACAGAAGCGCTATATCTGAATTCATATGTCCAAATCTGCTGAACGCAGGGTGGAGAATGATTTTCAAGACAGGGATGTTCTGTTCTCCTTTATCTGTCCTTCTGAGGTCGAATTCTCCGACAGTTACAATCAGATTTTTCGCAAGTTCCCTGTTAAACAAAGCACCGAGTCAGCAAGAAGGGAGAAGAATTGTAGCTCAGTTGGCAGGGCTGCAAAAGGGCACATTTGTTGGCTTAATCTCCTGCATCACCAGTTAAAATCATTTTAGACAGCTGACTCAGGTAAGAGTGGAGTTGCCTGAGAGCGGAGCTACACTTTACTTGTAATCCCATGATTATTTCCCTCACTTTAAGAGCAGCAATTTAAAGGAGAGAGACTCAACTCTTTTTCTCTCAGCTAGTTTTTCTACTAAAAACTTCCCACCCACCCACCTGTTTTTAACTTCTGTTCGGGGAAATCTTAAAGGTATTTGTACCCTGTCCCTAAAAAAAATAGCACTTTAGGGGTGATTTAAAACAACGAATGATGGCATGAGGAGAAAGAGTCTGATCCCTCCCTTTGTCTGGTTACTTCCTTCAAACAAACAACAACAAAAACCCCAGTGGTTATATTAACGTATATATTTCAACAATATTGAAGAGTGCAGTCTCAACAGATCATAAATATAAATAGTAAAGGCAAAACTCATATATTGTACAATCCAATCACACTGCAATGGAAACCACAGGCAATCTCATAGACGCTTAATAGTCCAAGACTCTAGTCTTCAAAGAAAGGAAGGAGTAAAGTGCTGCGCCAACAATAAAGTACTTCTTTAAAGATAGTAGACTGTTGTGTCATTCTTGGTTGTAGTGTACAAACTTCAAGGCGCTTCTGAAGACGAGATACACAAATTGTTGTATGCTTCTTGCTCTCAAGTAGTCACTTGCTCCCAAGTTGTTCTATCCAAATATTTTCAGCAGACAGAAAGCAATATTCCATCAATGGGATTGCTAGCCTAAATACATTGCTGTGTGTGGTGATTATCCATCTATGAAGAAGCCTTACTGAAACGGTGACATTTAGGCTATCAATCCCATTGATGGAATATTGCTTTCTGTCTGCTGAATATTGTTTTCTATCCTTAGCAAGAAATCTTGTGAAAGTGTTTCTCTAGTTTTATTACAAAACACCAGAACAGACTTTAAATTCTCAGTTGGAGCACAGATAGAACCAGTAGGATGGGGGGGGGGAGAGAGACAGGGGTAGCAAATCCATCCACAGAGACCAAAAGACATGTTTTGTTGATATGTTCATATATAAATAGGGTCGCCACCCTCCAGGTAGCACCTGGAAATCTCCTGTTATTACAACTGATCTGCAGACTATACAGATCAGTTTCCCTGGAGAGAATGGCTGCTTTGGAGGCTAGACTATTCAGAGGTGTCAAACTTATTTGTTATGAGGGCCAGATCTGACATAAACGTCACTTTGTTGGGCTGGGCCATGTGTGCCATAAATGTAATGCCAGGTACCTGAGATATAAACTGTATAAGGGACTGTAGCTGGTAAGCTCCGAGTTAGAGTATTCTCACTGGAAGGCCCCATGAGAGCCAGTTTGGTGTAGTGGTTAAGTGCACAGACTCTAATCTTGGAGAACCGGGTTTGATACCCCACCCCTCCACTCGCAACTGCTGGATGACCTTGGGCAAGCCATAGTTCTGTCAGAGCTGTTCTTGAAAGAGCTCTCTCAGCCCCACCTACCTCACAGGGTGTCTGCTGTGGGGAGGGGAAGGGAAAGCAGTTTGTAAGCCGCTCTGAGACTCCTTTGGGTTGTGAAGGGCAGGGTATAAATCCAATCTCCTCCTCCTCCTCCTCTCCTCATGGGCTGGGAGGGGGAGTGCAAAGGAAAACCCACATGGGCAGACTGGAGAGCCAGAAGTACAGCACTGGGCAGATGTTCCCACACTGCTTGACTGCTACAGACAAAGTGGTTCTCCAGCACTGAAGCCACACGCCCCCCCATCAAGCAGTCTCCTGTTCCCTCCTTTGCACTAGTTGCTCATGGGCCACATAAGAGCCTTAAACGGGCCGGTTCTGGCCCCGGGCCTTATGTTTGACTCCACTGCTCTATGTCATTACATCCTGCTGAGGTCTCTCCTCACCCCAAACCCCACCCTTCCCATGCTCCACCTCCAAAATCTCCACATCCTTCCCAACCCAGAGCTGGCAACCCTAATATATAAATGTAAAGCCTTATACTTCAGTTTAAGCTAATGCTGCTTTTTGCCATTCAAGGAGCTGGACGTGCATAGACTGCAACTATTAATGTCAATGGGCCTACTGAAGGAAATGGAATTAGAGACACACAGAGAGAAGAATTCATAAACTTACGGGTTAAGAAGATTTACCACACAGTGAGCTGCAGTAACCACCATGTTTTCATGGATCAAACTGCCACCACAGAAGTGAGAGAGACCCAACTTGATGGATACCTAGTCAGAAAGGGGAAAGAAAACCACACAAATACCATGTATCATTTTTTTGGCCATTTGAAACTTTGTGTGGTATCCATCAAGGGAAAAGGTTTGCCCTTGATATTACTACCCCCATACAGAGTGCCGTGCTGAGAGGGAAGGAACCCAAAGTGCAGTTAGTTCAACCCCTAGTGCCAGGACCCATCCCCAAAACGTAATTTCTCTTGGCACAATACCACATTAACCACCCCCAATATTAAAATTCCGTCCTACGCAAACGCAGTCTCTATTGACATATATGTCTAGGATGAAGTGAGGTAGAAAGCTGTTACTGTGTATAGATCAGTATGATCTAGTCTGTAAATCTTAGCTGTCATGCTAAGTAGCTAATAATCTTACAGCCAGGTGTTTAACTACCAGGTGCTACTCTTTGTCCTCATTAAGAGTAGGTAATTAGTCTGCCCTGTTAGTGATTGGCTGGGACTTGCATATAAGGTATAGGCTTGATAAGGTGGGTGGGGGGGACATAGCTCTCGCCAACTGAGGTAGGTTATGCTGTGTAACAGTCTGTATATTCTCTGTGTAAATATTCACCATTATCGCACTATAAACTTCCTGCACTTTCACTGCCAGTCGGTCTCCAGGCTTCTTATTTACTGCACCCAATAGTCTCCTGAGTCAAGAAAGAAAAATGTGTCTATTTTGTGTCTGAACTGACACGAATGGCTCACGAATGATAGACGGCCTGCAAGCTCAAATTGGGCTCCACTGCACTCTATTAAACTATGCCCATTCCACTAGCCACCCCTATGCTTGAGGCCCTGCCTTGGGAAAGGTACCTGACAGATGCAGATCTTCAATACCATAACACTCCTTCATTAATATTCTAATAGTTAAGTCTTTAAACTCCAAAATGACGGGAATGGAAGAGTGGTTAGAGTGCTAGAGAATTCGTGTCACAGGGTTGGCCAGTTTGGGTTGGGAAATCCCTGGAGATTTGGGGACAGAGCTCAGGGAGGGACCTAAGCGGGATATAATGCCGTAAAAAGTGACAGAGTCCACTCTCCAAAGCAGCCGCTCTTCTCCAGGGGAACTGATCTCTACCGTCTGGAGATCAGTCGTCGTTCCAGGAGATCTCCAAACCCCACCAGGAGATTGATAACCTTAAATCATATCCCCCACCCCTTCAAAATTACCTCACAGGATAAAATGGAAGAGGAGAGAACCACGCACATGGCCTTGAAGTATGCCCCCCCCCTAAAAGTGAGGGAGATAAAGGCACACCCAGCACAGGCCTGCCACAGTTGCCTGCCAGGTGCTGGATCTCTCCCACCAATAATTCTCGAAAAGAGTCCGGCCTCCAGAAAATCCTCCTCACTCTCCAGTTCTGAAGAACGGACTCCGCATTTCAGTCCTGCGTAAAGCACAAGAACACATCCCACGCGGAGTTATTGAATTTGTTAAGTAGAAGGTGTCCTTTCCTATTTCAAGGTCTCAGGCCAAGCAACAGTATAAGACAAATGCATTCCCCTGACAGGGAAGATCAGCGTTTGGCCCTTTCCACACTAGAGCCCTTGTGAGCTGCCGTGGCGTGTCTCTTCTGCTCTCATCTGGAAGCGAAATTAAAATGGTGGTTCCAGGAGAGACTTAATGCTATAGTTCTCATAACAATCCTGAAACTCCTGCCCCCACAAGGAAGTCTCATTGGGCTCCAGAAAGCAACTCTGGATTGCAGACTTCAGTTGGCCATCTGCCTGCTTTGGTGGTTAATAAACACTTATAAACCATTTCCTCTCCCTGCAAACAGGTAGGCCTGAACAGTTCTTTTGTGACAGAAGTTCTGCTCCTTTGATACTAGGATATATCCATCCCAAACAGACAGAATTTGGTCTAGGGTGGCCAACTGTGATCTGGGCAATTCTTGGAGATTTGGGGTGTGTGTGGAACCTGGGGAAGACAGGGTTTGGGGAGGGGAGGGACCTCAGCATGATATAATGCCATAGGATTAGGGTTGCCAGCTCTGGGTTGGGAACTACCTGGAGATTTTGGGGGTGGAGTCTGAAGAGGGTGGGGTTGGGAGGGGGGGAGCAACCTCAGTGTGGTATGCTGCCACACAGTCCACCTTCCAAAGTGGCCATCTTCTCCAGGTGAACTGATTTCTGTCGCCTGGAGATCAGCGGTAATCCCAGGAGATCTGTCCAGCCGCCACCTGAAGAAGTGTGCCTGTGCACAAACGCTTATACCTTGAATAAAATTTTGTTGGTCTTAAAGGTGCCACTGGACTCAAACTTTGTTCTACTGCTTCAAACCAACACGGCTATCCACCTGGATTCAAACTTCAGATTAGGGACCCATGGGTTAAGTCGCTTGCTTAACAAAGCAGTCGGAGAGTGATTCAGCAAGAACACAACTTTATTCTTCAACTCGAACACAACTCCACACTTTGAAGGACCAATTATATTAGAAATGCTGACTGTTCTGTTAAAGCTGGGTTCCTTCATCCCACAGAAACCGCTGCTGAAGCAGAACAAAATTAACAGTGTTCCTCTCATCAGTTATTTCTGAAGGCAGAATGAAGAACAGAAAGTTTACTATAGCCATTTCTTAGTTATCAAGCTTTAGGTTTAAGATAAAAAGAAGGAAAGACAGCATCACCTGAATGCAGCATCTCGGAATTCAGTGACTGAGAAAAATCAAGGTCTTCAGACACCTGCCTCCTTTGTTGCCATAATTTTGTTCCACTCAGCTGGGCTGTTTCTGAACCCCAGCTGGCTGTGAGACATTAATAACCCCGTGTGGGAAAACATAAGAACATAAGAGATGCCAATGTTGGATCAGGCCAAAGGCCCATCCAGTCCAACACTCTGTGTCACACAGTGGCCAGAAATACCAGGGGCCATCAGGAGGTCCACCAGTGGGGCCAGGACATTAGAAGCCCTCCCACTGTTGACCCCCCCAAGCACCAAGAAGACAGAGCATCACTTGCCCCAGAGTCCCTATCTATACCTTGTGGCTAATAGGCACTGATGGACCTCTGCTCCATATGCTTATCTAATTCCCTTTTGAAGCCGTCCTGTGGCAGTGAATTCCAAGTGTTAATCACTCTTTGGGTGAAGAAGTACTTCCTCTTATCCGTTCTAACCTGACCGCTCACCAATTTCATGGAGTGCCCACGAGTTCTTGTATTGTGAGAAAGGGAGAAAAGTACCTCTTTCTCTACCTGCCAAAACCAAGGACAAGCAAGTGATTTCACCTGATCCCTAGCCTTAAACCTGGAGATGCCTCTCTGTTAAAATCCATACCTCTCTCTTAAAACAGTAGTAATTACCTGTTGTTGTTCTGAATACTTTGTTCTTTTTGCCCAGTAGCTATTTAGAGCGACAATTTCTTCTATAAAACCAATATACCTGTTTTCTAGTAGAGCACGTCTTAAGAAAACTTTAAAGGACATCAATAGAAGAGCATTAAAATCCAGAGAGATTACCCACCCCTTATGATGTAGGCATATCAATATTTTGTAAATCATGCAACAGCCAATGGCTACATTCTGTTAGGGAGTTTTGATCTTCTGCACATTGTGTGAATTTACAATCCTTTATTAAATGCATTTTTTGTATAATTTTGAGTATTTTGTATAATTTTGAGTATATTTTATAGCCAAGACAAATTTGACCAAATCAAGGAAAGAGGCAAGGCTTCTGAAAAACAGACAGTGGGACTTTACTTCGTGATGAAATTTCTGTTCTCCATGCTAAAGAAGCTTCATTCTAATCAAACACAGGGCACTGAACCACTACTTAGTCCAGAGAGAACAGAATTCCCACGTCCCTTCCACAGTGCTTACAGATGGCTAGAGAGTCACTACATAGGCACGAGGAAAAGAGGGAAGCGACATTTTTATTGCCTACACATTTATGTTCACAACAAATGAGACACAGTAGCTTTGAGTAGCACCAAAAATGGAGTCTGGGTCTTTTAAAATGGAAGCTGTTAGCACTGAATTAATCAAACATTAGAAAACAAAGCCAAGAGAGGCAAAATCCATGATATACTCAGCGTTGCTAACCAAGTCCATTCCCAAGTGGAACAACCTTCAAACAATACCTCTGCAGTGGCAATAGAAAACCTGAGTTATTCTGCTCATAGAATTTGCTTTTGAATTCTAGTACACCAATTTCAGTATAAGAAGCTCTACCTATTAGCACAAGATGAAAAGTTAGTCTGAAGATTCAAATGGCTATAAAACCACCATAACTTCTTTTAACTAGAAGTGGGATTTGTTTTTCTCAGAGAGTCACTTGGGCCCCGGTCACACGGAGAATTTGCCCAGTGAAAGGCACGAATGTTGGGTGGATTTTCGGGGTGCGATCACACCGCAACATCCGGGAAGCATAGCGCACCCGTGGCCAACTGCTGAAGATGCGGAGTTAAAAGTACCAAGGAAAGTGCACTAGTATCCGGAAAACGCGCAGCACAGGCGGGTGTCTGATCACGGGAACGCTAGCAGGGCTTTTTTTGTAGAAAAAGCCCAGCAGGAACTCATTAGCATAATAGGCCATACCCCTGACAGCACAGCTCATTCACATATTAGGCCACACCCCCATATTACCAGAAGCGTGGTCATCCAGCCACACCCACCTTTTGCTTCTTATTCTCTTTACCTTGTTTGTTGACAAAACCCAGGGCTTCTTTTTTTGAGCAGGAACTCCTTTGCATGTTAGGCCATACACCCCTAATTGTAGCCAATCCTAATGAGTTTCTGCTGTTGGGTGTGGCCTATTATGCTAATGAGTTCCTGCTGGGCGTGGCCAACTTGGGAGCCAGTCTGAACTCCGTTCCTGTTCATTCCTGCCCAAAAATAGCCCTGAACGCTAGTATCTCGTGGCATCCGGCGCCCGTCCACATCCCATCGCAAACTGGATGTTGATCGTAAGCACATGCGCACAAACATGAAACTGAAAGCAGTGCTACTCTGCGGAACTGCGCATGCACACAAACGCAAAATGCTTGTGTGGTCGCGCTGTGCCGCTTCTTTGCCATGCTGCAGCATCGCCGTGTGATCGCCAGCTAACAGCCAAAGCACGGAGACTCGGGGGACCGTGTGATCGGGCTACCGCGCTTTATTTTGCTCTGGGACGAACAGCCACACCTCCCCCCCGCGTTATCTGGCCTGTGTGACCAGGGCCCTGGTGGTGTTTGTTGAAATTGGTAGACAACAGTCAGCTGCTTCTCTCAAGATCTAATCTTCAGTAACTTCCCAGGTAGGTGGACCATGTTAGGGCATCTTGAACCTCGTGAAGGGCTAGATTTGTGAACAGAAATAGCAAAGTGTTCTCACTATAAATCCAAGTCCCGTGTTAAGGGTTGGTGAATAGGGTCACTATGCTCTTGACCAAGCGTCTTGGCCTTTAAGAGCAGCTCAAAACAAAAATTCAGCTTGTGAAGTTTTCTCTGTGGGGATTTGGTGGGGAAAGCACCACCTGCTCCTTTCTCCATTCTAGAGCCATTGTTAAAGTCACATGAGCAGTCTAGTAAGGAGCTGGCAAGTTGGGAACCCCAAATGAATTTGGAAGGGATGGTGGTAATGCACACTCTGCAGCAGCAGCTCTGAGGAACTAGGATTCAGAAAGCCTTACAAACACTGACAAAGGTCAGAACATCTTTTTAGAAAGACAGTTCATCTGATAACCACTCCTGTTTTCCTAGACGACTTTGGAGAAGTTTGCCAGCTGTAGACTGCAGTCTGCAACAATACCATGAATGGTTTGAAAAAAATGACTGACCATTTGGGGTTATTTCTAGGGTTACCAGGTCTGCCTTGGGAAATGCCTGGAGATTTGGGGGTAGTGCCTAGGGTTACCAGCTTGGGTAACTCCTGGATACTTGGGGGCAGAACCTGGGAATGACAGAGAGCTCAGCAGGGATGTGATGTAGGTTCCGGCCGAGTGTGATTAGGTGTTTACGGGCTGTGCTCCACCACCGAGGGAGTATTGTTTTAGTTGATTTTAGCCTTAGTTTTAAATTGTTTTATCTGTATTCTGTGTCTACTCTCCAAAGCAGACGTTTTCTCCAGGGGGTCTTATCTCTTGTAATCCGAAGATCAGTTGTAATTCTGGGAGAACACCAGGCCCCACCTAGAGGTGTAGCAACCCGAGCTGCAGTGTTAGGAAAGCCTGGTAACGAATAAATATACACTACAAGAGATGTATAAATTAACATGTTCTATCTGTAACTACCATTCTATAAAGCTCATAATGTGCTATTATTATATCCTTATCAGGTACTGAAGGGCTAGATTTGTGAACAGAAATAGCGAAGTGTTCTCACTATAAATCCAAGTCCCTTGTTAAGGGTTGGTGAATAGGGTCACTAAGTTCTTGATCAAGCATCTTGGCCTTTAAGAGCAGCTCAAAG